GCCTCGGAGGCCCGCGGCTGGAGGTGCCGGAGCCGCTCGGTCCGCGCGGCTGAGCCCCGCGTGCCCCGCTGCTCGCCGGGCTGCTCCGAGCCGCGGTGCTCCGGGGCTCCAAACTCGGGCTGGCGGGGAAAGTGTCTTCATGAACCCAGAGGATGTCCGGGAAGCACTACAAGGGTCCTGAAGTCAGTTGTTGCATCAAATACTTCATTTTTGGCTTCAATGTCATATTTTGGGTAAGTTGGAGCGCTCCCGGGCTTCCAAGTGCTGTGGCGGATGGGTGGGCGACGGTCCCCCGCCGTGGTCGCTGCCTCTACTTTTCGCCGCCCCCGGGGCGCCTGCCCTAGTCGGGGCGAGAGGCGTCTACCTTCCGCCTTCCCGGCTCGAGCGCGGGGGAGAGAAACACTTCATCCTTTCCAGGACCCGGAGGAGGTGAAAAGAGGAACCGAGCCGGGCAGGGGGCAGCCAGGCCTCTGGGTGGCTTTTTTGTTTTTTCTTTCTTTCTTTCTTTTTTTTTTAAAAGGAGGGGTAAATAGGTTGGGTACGGATGGGAGGACGGCTCGGCAGTTTGAGAAACGAGCGAGCACACCGATTAGATTTGCTTCCCGTGGGATCTGGATGTTGGGCAGAGCGTGGTGTCATAATGGGGCAGGCTAATCGGGCAGAGCCGACCCCGAGATCCACCTTCCAGCGCCGTTCTGATTGGCCGAGGGCTTGGCTCGGTGTTGCCGCGGCTGGTCTGTGCCGTGCTCAGCGTGTATCTCCTTGCACCATCTCGGGCTTTGTGTAGGATGCAGATGCCGTGGCGTGTGGTTCTGTAATGTGCACGTAAATAACACGTCCTGCAAGCTCCTCTCCGGCTGTAAAGCGCTCCCTTTGCATAATGGACTGGTCAAGTGGGCGTGTGGGGTGGAGGGATTTATTTCTCTGTGTATCCTTGTGGAATAACTAGTCACCAGTCAACATATGTTTCGGTGTGCGCGTGCCTCACGTCCTCCCTTTTTAAAGGGGTGACACACAGCGGGCCGGGTTTTAGTAACCCTCGGAGAAATAAACGCAAGGGAGAAGGTGTGTGAGACCTGTTTTACTGGCCAGGCAGGAGAGCAGCTGCTTGCTTGCACACCGGGTTCAAACCGTGCTCTGTTTGGCACTGCCTTGTGCCGGGCGCCTATTGTAATCAGGCTGGGACCCTACTCTTTTGTTTTGATTCTTTTCTGCGACCTCACAAACGTGTTCAACCAGACAAAGAGTTCCCCAGGACAAGGGGGAAATGGTTGGTTGGAAGACTATGTTATTTTTCAGCCCACCTCTTCCTATTCGGCTGTCTTCCTCACTGGCACCCTCTCTCCATGGGCGGTAAAGATGGTGGCCGTCCGTGGGGGTATTACCAAGTTTCTGCGAGGTAAATAAACCATGATCCAGCGGTCTGAGTACAGGGCATTTTAATTTGGACTGCCCTTAATTGTGGCTGTTTGCTGTAAATGTGCACATCTGGGAGACTAGTTGTAGATCCTCTTCACGTTCAGTTTCCCCCCTCACTTACCAGCTTATTTTATTTTCTGTCAGAGTGGCCATGTGTGTTTTGTGAAAGGAAATGGACTTTGTGTCAGCATGTCATCTGTTCTCAGGACTGGACCAGGTTGATGAGGGGGTGTGGGAATAGATACCATGGCCAACCAGTCAGTTTTTGATTTTTTTGTGTCAGTGATCGTATGTGGTACCCCCACTCTCCCAACACACACACACACACACACACACACACACACACACACACACACACACACACTGCTGTAAATAGAGCAGGAGGAAATGATTTTTTTTTTCTTCTCTCCTGGACCCTTTCTGGAAATGTTTAAAACTGGTGGGTAGGCTATTTCCCAGGGAGGTATTCTGATAGCGTTGAACTATGAGAGGCAAGGGCCCGGAATGGGGCTGCAGGGGCGGTGCGTCCAGGCCTCTTCATTCGCTTGAACACTTCCAAAAGTTGCACATTTCAGCTACCAGGCAACAAAAAGCACCCACAGGCTTTCTCCGCAGTTTCATAGCAGGGAGTGAAAAGGAAATAAAAAGGATTGGGGACTGTTTCCCTGGCAGTTGGGTGTAATTTTGCAGAGAGCACAAAGGCAAATTTAGCCCTGTCTCTGGATTAGGCTGCAGCAAAACCCCTGAGCTGTGGAGAGCCCCGACAAAACTGCAGATTGCTGGCATGGGGAGTTCCAGAATAGGGCCCACAGCTCGCCTGATTTTGAAGGTATTCCCGTGGGCGGTAGGTAGTTTTGTGGGAAGCCAGAGAACAGACTGAGACTAAAGGAGCACTCCTGGGCAGCGCCGCTGAGGAGGCGCCTACTTAGGTGAGTCCTTTCCACTCGCTCCCTGCCCTTTCAGTACCAAGGTCCACCCCTAGTCCTTTTTTATACTGCTCGCTGTCTCCAAATTACCTTGCATTTAAATGTCCCATTTTATCAGGGCCAGTAGCTCTAGCAGAAAGCAGCAGGAAAACGTCCATGTTATAATTAAAGCAATCCACACTAAAATGCTGGTGACTGGGAGCTGGCAGCGGCTGTAAAAACTTGCACACCTCTACTCTCTTGAGCCATCAGCCTGCCTGTCATTGCCAGAAACGGCCGAGTCGGTGTTCCGGCTGTACAGTTAGTTATGAAGGAGAAATTGCTCACAGAGACCACGGGCTCCCAATCTTTCATTTTCACATTGACATGTAGACTAAATTTGAAATTCATTGAAGACATTTGAAAGTAATAGTTCCTGTAAAATAAAAGGGAGCACACAGAGGCAGCTGTGACAGTTCAGATCTCGTGCTAATCACCACTTTGACTGGTAGTCACTTCACGGCCCTGGGCCTTCGTTACTCCGACGTTCAAGTGAAGGATTTGGGTGAATGGCGAGGTTCTTTCTGTTTTTGACAAAGAATTTGTTGAGTTCTAGTATGTCGTGAAAAATGAAATATAAGAGATGAGCAGTAGCCTGGGATGGGAAAGCATTCATGGGAAGGCTTGTCTAGTGATAGACTGTCCTGTACCGAGATGCACTCACAGACTAATTTGTTTTTCATTTCTTCCTCAGTGAGTCTTCCACGAAATTTTCCTTGCTTGCTGAGTTATTGGCGTGGCAGGCATCTTTCCCTATCTGCACCGTGAATCTCAAATGTAGTCCTCTGAGTCATTAGCTATATTTTTATTATTAGAATTACAGTTTCATGTGTAAAACTCTAATTCTTTTATATAACAGTTGTGATATTCTGAGTAACAAAGCCAACATCTTGTACAGATTCCTTTCTTGTTAGTTATTACAGGGTGGTAGGGGAAAACCTTTGTTTTTCTTGTTCTATATTGGAAGAACTCAAGCCAGCAGGGATTGATTTTATTGAGGGTGTCACCATAGGAAGATATTTCTCAGAAACACTGAGTTGTCTTTGGGGGGAGGAGGAGAGGGGAGAAGAGGGGTCTTGTTTTAAGTTCAGCCCTTTGGGGAGTTAATCCTCGTATCTCATCACTGACCAACCATTCGTAGATGTTTTGTTCTGGACCTTGGCACTTAACTGTTTCCCAGCAAGTAAATGAATGTCCACATCCTGGTTATTTATTGCTGCACATAACAACCCCCCCCCCAAACTTTAGTAGTTTAAAACAAGACCTCATTATTACAGTTCCAAGTTTGGCGATTGAACTACTCATAGGGATGATTCTAGGCTGGGGATCTCTGTGCAGTTGCTGTGAACTGTGGCTGGCCTTTTTTGAAGTCTCCTCTGGGTGGGGAGCCCTGGCTGGTGCTCACCTGTGACTGGCAGGTGGTGCTTACTGATGGCTTGGCTGTGGTTGTCGGCTGTAACGCAACATCTAGACTCTGCTGTCTCTCAGACTTGAAGCAGCTTCCAGGCAGTTTCACTGCACTGCCCTTTGGCACATTAATAAAAGCCCCCATGGAGTCTTCTCAGTTATTAGTTCTGTCTTGGATAGGGAAGCGTCAAGGTCACTTTGTAGGAGATTATGTGGTGTTCTGGCTAGGTTTGTGTCAACTTGACACAAGCTGGAGTTATCCCAAAGGAGAGCATCCCAACTGAGAAAACACCTCCATACGATCCAGTTATAGGACATTTTCTTAATTAGGACATTTTCTTAATTAGGGAGGGTCTCGTCCTCTATGGGTGGTGCCGTCCCCGGGCTGGTGGTCCTGGCTTCTGTCAGAAAGCAGGCTGAGCAAGCCATGGGGAGAGAGCTAGTAAGCAGCCCCCTCCATGGCCTCTGCATCAGCTCCTGCCTCCAGGTTCCTGCCCTGCTTGAGTTCTTGTCCTCACTGCTTTTTTTTTTTGTTTGTTTGTTTTTTTGTTTTTCGAGACAGGGTTTCTCTGTGTAGCTTTGCGCCTTTCCTGGGACTCACTTGGTAGCCCAGGCTGGCCTCGAACTCACAGAGATCCGCCTGGCTCTGCCTCCCGAGTGCTGGGATTAAAGGCGTGCGCCACCACCGCCCGGCATCCCTCACTGCTTTTGATGACAAACTGTTACATGGAACTGCACGCGAAATAAATTCTTCCCTTTTCAAGTTGCTGTTGGTCGTGGTGTTTCATCACAGCAATAACCCCGACCAAGATGTGATTTCAGCCATCTTTAGAAAACGACTTATTAGAAAAAACTGACCCCATTGGTCCGCAGAAGCCTTGAGTTAGTTGGTAGGACCACTTGTTATTTTGTTCTCTGTGCTGTCCAAGGACTGAGGAAGCTATTGTGTGTTTGAGGCCCAATGTCTCTGTGGTGTACTTTCAGATCTTACTCTGTGTTGCCAGCAGAGGTTTACCTAGAATAGAAGGCAGAATGTTGCATGTAATTTGTTTCCACGGGGCTTAAATTCCAAGAGGAGGGAGATTCAGGGAGCCTTGGGCTGGGGGTGGGGCATCAAGTCTTATCTTATGATTCAGTATAAATTTCGAGATGTTCTGGAATGATGGTACATCAGCAGTTTATAAGTCATAATTTTTGTTTTAATTTGCTAGACATCTGTTAGCTTCGATGGCAACCATATGGGAGTCTAAATTGCCTTTTGAATTACAGGGAGATGGTAGGAAGAAAGCTAAATGTGGCTATGGGAGTGTCGTGAGAGAGAGGTGTAGGAAAGGTGTGCAGATCTCGAGGGGAAAGTCAAGACGCACGATCTTACCACTCCAGCCTTCGCTCTGGGGCCGCGCATTCTTGCTGCTGGGTGGTGGTCTTGAAGGTTGAGATGG